ATCAACTGGTTGTGCAACCTCATCGTGGGTGTGTCGTACCCCTATATTTCGGACGCTCTGGACGACTACGCGTACGTTCCGTTCGTGGTGCTTCTTGCTATTTTCTTCCTGTTGGCTCTGAAGTTGGTACCGGAGACGTCGGGCAAGTCAGCCGAGGAGATCCTGGCCGAGTACGACTCACGTCGCGAAAAGTAAGCAATAAAACCCTGTCAAGCTTAAATTCTTGTCGATAACCCGGTTGTAGCGAAGCGTAGAAAGCTAGAACAACCTTGGCATAATGAAATCGTTAGTTAGTTGGCTATCCTTTACTTGTTCTCGACGCTATGAAAACTGTCAAAATGTTAGTAGAACTGGAACATAATGAAGATATCGATAGCATCATTGTCGAGTGCCTTGTCGACACCACTGCTTTTTGATTGTCCATTATTTCATGGAAAACAACTTCCGGAAGCCGACTTTCTGCTCGTCCGAAAGAGATTCCGGGAACTTGACATGGAATTTGATGTGCAGCTGGCCCCTTTCCGAAGGGAAATGCTGCTTCGGCATGCCCTCATCCTTCAGCACAGTGACAAACCGAGGTGGCGTGATCTCATCACGCACCACTTCCACTCGCCGTCCATCCAAGTGCGTGAAACTTTTTCTGAATCCAACGAGCGATTCGCGTAGAGAGATGTCCATATCCATCCACAAATGGTCGCCCTCGCGCGTGAAAACCGGGTGTGGTGCTGTCAGTACCTGCAAACGCACGTGTCCTGCCGGTTGGCCCGCGATTTCGTCTGCATAGTTCTCCAATTCCACCTCAAAGCCGTCGGGTGTGCCCTTATCCAGATCCACATCAAAATTAAGATCCGTCATCTCTACCTTGCGACCGCCACACACTGGACACGTGCTCGTGTAGATTTTACCCTTTCCATGGCATTTCTCGCACGTGGTTTGGAACTGCTGGATGAAGCCCGGGCCTACACGTCGCGTGGTTGTCTTGACACCTTGTCCACCACACTCATTGCATACGTGGACGTCTTCCTCGTGAGCCGCTCCCTTGCCATGACAATGATGGCAGATGGTCTGTTTAAATTAATATTTAAACGGCAAAACAATCAGCTTAAACGTTCCGTCCTCAATAGATTTCGTACTGTACCTCACGACGGATGGAGAATTGGAGACTCTTGCCATTGTACAGATCGGCTAGCGACACACGCAGAGGCATCACCACATCCGGGCCGCGTGATGGCTCACGTTCTCGGCGATTGCGACCGCCGCCCCCGAAAAACTGCGAGAAAATGTCGAACGGGTCGTGGCCGCCACCTCCACCGGCATTATTCAGGCCTTCTTCACCGTATCGGTCGTATTTGGACTTCTTTTCCTCGTCGGACAGCACGTCATATGCTGATATAAAGCATGAGAAACCCCACAGCATTAGCTAAGCCCATTGTGCCAAGGATTAATTATGAGGAACTGTATCAATGCGACTCACCGCTTGCCACTTCCGCGAACTTCTTGGCTGCATTCTCGTCCCCCGGGTTCTTGTCTGGGTGGTGCTAATGACACGTATAGTATAAGCATTAGGAAAATCTGTGTGGACAACTTTTCAGGTTCCAGTGAAGCGGACCCTACTTTGAGCGAGAGTTTGCGGAAGGCGCGCTTAATTTCGGCGGACGACGCGTCCCGAGATACGCCCAGCACCTCGTAGTAGTCTTTGCCAGCCACGGACAGCGCCACGAGGCACGCCAACGCAAGCAGCAGCAGCAGATGTCTGCCACGCGTCATGAGGATCCGCCGATTGCTGTTCTAGAAGTGAATCCTTCACTTTATATTGGTTTTAACAACACAAAATGTACGTAAATTCAGGTAATTCACATAATACACACGCTGAAGTGCGAAAAGGTTGTGATGATCGATGAGCAGTGGAGTGGCAACATTCACGTACGTGATGCCAGCCCTGAGGTTACTGTACCCTCAGTGGAGTTGGCCGTTCAAAAAACTCCCTTGGAAAACATCAACGGCGACCAATGTGCATCAATTACAAGTCGAACCATCATAAAGCTGCTGTAATATTAGGTTTCAATTAGATTTGACTACATGGTGCTATCACTACAACTAAATTCACACGTAAAAAGCATGCACAGTCTGCTCAGTACGACGACGCGAGTATCTGGAGGGTTCATGGCTCCACAACGAACGTTCATCTTTCACTCGAATGCATATCGACAAAATAGCGGAACTCAAAATGAATAAGCTCAGATATCGGAACGACAAAGCGCGGTCTTCGACGACCTTGAATAAAAGTCCCCACATGAGTCCTCCCATGTTTCCCCCAGCGCCCACTATTCCAGACGCCACACCTATGTAATCTGGGCAAATGTAGGGTACAATTCCATACGTTGTACCAGCCGAAGCCTCCGCGAAGAAGCCGAAGGCGATTAAACAGGGAACACTCCATTCCACCAAACGGATGTGGCTGTACACATAGAGAAAAATGGCTTGGCCTGTGAGGCAGGCAAACTGAGCCGAGATCCGGCCCTTCATATCCCAATTCCGATTGCATACGTCCGATATATAGCCACCGATAGCACGCGCGAAGATGCACATTAGTCCAAAGCAAGACGAGATGAGACTGGCTTTCGTTTGAGTTAGTAGACGGCAGTTATCCTCATCAGTGGCAGGGTCACAATCGGGGCTTCTGAAATCCTCGTAGTAGTAGAGACTTAGTACATTGTGGACTTGAATCTGCACACCTAAGCTGCACGCGTACTGGAATGCCAGAATCCAAGCCACAGGCTGCCTTGCTACAGTTATGAAGGCGTGAAGCATGTCAGTCTTCGGTTTGTCTGCCATGGCGTGGGTTTTCTTCATTTCAAGGTAGTTTCCTTGTGGGCAATCATCCGAGAAGAAGTACGTGCAAATCCCGATCAATACCATCAGTATTGCTGGGAACAACTGCGTAACTCGCCAACCCAAGTTGTCGGACATGCCGCCATTCACGGTCAACAAGTCAAACAGTAACGGAGTGATAAGGTACGTCGCACCAGCACCCAAATTCCCCCAACCAGCAGCAACAGCGTTTGCACTTCCAACAACTTCTTTCGAGAACATAGTCGACGTCCAGTACGTAGTCGACACAAAGGTGCAGCCAACTAAGCCGATGAAAAAACGAACAAACATGAAGCCAACGTAGTCGAACGCCAAGACCGCGGACGCCACTGGAATCGCTCCGATCACCAACAGCGCAGCCTGGATACTACGAGCACCGCAGCGATCGCATAGCGGTCCGATTAGAAGTCGTCCAACCATGGTACTCGCCAACGAAATGATGTTCGAATTGTCGACTTGAGCTTGTGTTAGTTTAAGCTGTTTCTTGATAGTAGGGAGCAAAGGGAGAATCGAAAACCAACCGAAGAAAGCAATGAAGAAGGACAGCCACGCGAAGTGAAATGCTCTCATGTGAGGTCTTGCAAAACTGAAAAGCCGAATCTCCGTAGCTCTATCAGCTTGAAGCGGATCCGTGAAGAGAGCAAAGGACGGGCGGTTCGACGAGTTTACTCGGTGGTGGAAACCGCGACGATGTTGAGAGGAGGCGCTTGATGCGTCTAGGTATCCCGCACTCTCTCGCTCGGTTAACTCCAAATCCACAACGGTGATCGTTTTTGTTCGTTCGCGTCGGTTGTCGTGAGAAGGATAAGCTCCGAGTTCCTGCAGTGTCGGTGCGAAGTACTCGAGTGCTGGTTGTCGACTATTACTTCGTGGGGGGCCGCGCCTTGGAAGATCGTAGCCAAAGGTGAAATCCATAGTTGTCGATACTACAACTCGAAGTGCGTGGCAGTCGAGACCTTGTAAAATGACCTCAGCTCATTGATGAAGACGGCGCAGTGCCATACCTGGGTTCAAGGCGATTTCATCACCCGATGGCGACAGCCATGAAAAACTCGAAGAAAAAGACCCCTTCCGGTCCTTAGTGCTGAACTTCCGAACGAAAGAAGTCGGGACGGACTGACTTTAACGTCCACCCTTATCACACTTAATCTCTCTCTCTGTCTAGTGTTGGAATAAGGTCGAGATGAGGAGCTCAGTTCTGCCTACGCTAAAAATTTCTAACTTGGCAGTACAGAAGGTGATGAGGAGGATGGAGTGCACGCACATAGATTGAAGTCACATGTGCCGGCACAGTGGATGTAAGCTTCTGAGCGCATATTCGCAACAGTGTTTTTGTAGCGTTCGTTTGTGTGGAAACTGCGTTGACGCACACGCCGACCTCTCCAGCCTAACCGATCTGCAAGTGTACTTGATTGAGGCCGCAACTTGCAGAGACTGATGCGATGGACGTAGGTAAAGCATTTCAGATGTGTTTTGATCGTCATGGGGTTAGCAATTGCATAATTCAAGGTCAGTTCAGTTTGTCACCGGTGCTTGCTACGCCTCTTGCGAGCTACGTCCGACCACGTTCTGCTGCTGTGCAAGGTTGTGTCACGCCATGCGTACTTATACTCTATCATTGGCACTACGATGCGGTTACCAACAATTTAGTCAACAGCAACGCGTGCTGCTTTTAACGAATAATTCACTGTAAACTTCTCTGATCTTCAGCTTCTGTGGTCGCATTAATGGATTCTTATTTGCTCCTATCGTGAGTTCACCATTGACTTGAATAACAGGAGACGACATCGTAGCCATGCCAACAAAGATACTGAGGTAGGCAAACGAACTTTTGAATGAGGAGATTCCGGCTTTGAGAGATTAGCAAGAAGATGCTATTAGTGCATGTAGTAGTGGACACCTACAGTAAAAGTGGTTGTGTACGTAAAAATATTTACCAGCTTTTGTAAATGTTACCAAATGAAAGGTATTTGTCGACTACTGGGTTTTTTTTTTCAAATGTGCAACTTTCACTATAGTCTGCACGATACTTGCATTCTGCAGAGTTTCCATATCAAGTTGCAGCTTTAGATCTGATCGACCAGTTACTGCTATCACCTCCATTTGCAACCTACCAATTGATTCTGCTAATCACCAACCACCAACACCATGAAATAGGATGTGATAAAAGGCAAACAGCGTGTTCGTGTACATTATCTAGCAATTAGAGTCCATCAACTGCCTACCAGTTGCTAGCGGTATCGTCGCGAGAGAAATTGAGGTGTTGAGGAGCTCGCCCACTCACTCCCCCGCCTCGAGACCAAATCGAACGCTCTCCATGGATCTGGATTAACACGGATGAAACTGAAGATGCCGCTACAAAGAAGCTCAAGTATTCAAAAGACTTTGCGCGATTCACAACTTCTTTGAAGAGGAACCCCCACGCGAGACCACCCATGTTACCCCCGGCACCAACGATCCCAGATGTCACGCCAGTGTGTTCAGGACAGACGTAGGGAACAATACCATACGTTGTTCCGGTAGATGCTTGAGCGAAGAACCCGAAAACAACGAGGCACGGGATACTCCAAGCTAGCACTTGGATCTGGCTGAAGAGATAGAGAAATATAGCTTGTCCTGCAAGACACAACATCTGCATGGAGATGCGGCCTTTCATGTCGTAGTGGCGGTTTGCGACGTCGGAAACGTACCCTCCAATAGCTCGAGCAAAGATGCACATAAGACCGAAGCAGGACGAAATGACGCTAGCTTTGGTTTGGGTCAGTAGACGGCATTCATTGGCGTCAGTCTCTATGTCACACCCGGCAATCGTGAAGTCTTCGTAGTAATACAGACTAAGCACGTTGTGGACTTGCAGCTCGACACCGAAGCAGCAGGCGTACTGGAAGGCAAGAATCCAAGCGACCGGTTGTCGAGCGACCGCCATGAACCCATAATACAACTCCGATTTAGCTCGGTCAGCCATGACGTGGTTGCGTTTGAGGTCGACGTAGTTGCCCTGTGGACAGTCGTCCGAGAACAAATAGGTGCAAATACCTATTGCAACCATGAGAACGGCAGGAAATACGAGTGCTATTCTCCAGCCGTAATTGTCCGAAATGGTACCGTTAACTGTGATGAGATCGAAGACAAGAGGAGTTATCAAGTAAGTCACACCCGCACCCAAGTTACCCCAGCCACACGAAATGGCATTGGCGCTACCGACCACCTCGTGTGAGAACATGGTCGACGTCCAGTACGCAGTAGCCACAAAGGTGCACCCCACGAGACCGATGAAAAACCTCGTCAGCATCAAACCAGTGTAGCTCGTCACGAGTGCCGCAGAGGCGACGAGGACAGCTCCAACGACCAACAGCACAGATTGAATAGTGCGTGCTCCGTAGCGATCGCAAAGGGGCCCAACAATTAGTCGACCGATAATGGTACTGGAAAGTGACACAATATTTGAGTTGGAAACCTGGTCGTCCGTTAAATTGAGCTGTTTCTTGATGGTCGGCATGATCGGTGGGATCGAGAACCAACCGAAGAACGCAATGAAAAACGACAGCCATGCGTAATGGAAGGCCCGCATGTGCGGGCGCTGGAAGCTGAATAGTCGAATTTCGGTGGCCTTGTCACCCTGCTGTGGATCAGTGTAGATGTCAAAGGAGAAAGGGCGAGGGCGGGTTGACTGCAGCATCGGGATCTGACGGTGCGGATCCGTCGACATGCCATGGTACGAGGTAGCTTTGTGATCGGTGGTTCTCGAAATGTTGGAGATTCCCAGATCCAGCGGGGGCCTCGGGGTTTCAGCGATCGTGTTAGTGCGAGTGGAGATCGGATGCCCGAGATCAATTAGCGTGTGTGGAGCTCTAGACATCGTTACTGAGGCAGGATCGAGTCACCCCCCGAATGGAAATGCTGTTCTGAGCGTTCCAAAGAAGAAGGTAAAGTGAGCAGGTAGGTGGGTAACCATGTGGGTATCATTGTACCGAACTCATCGGCCTGTCTTGGAGTTCAGTTGGGTGGTAACCAGTCCACGAGGGTTGCACTCTGTTGCGAGTCTGAACAATTTCGAATCCCCTATTCGATCTTAGGCACTTCCAACGCATCATGCGACGCTGGTTTTCATCGTTTTCTGAAGCATCGTCGGGCTAACCGTCGTCGGTACAGCTATTTGGTCTCTTAACGGAGCGCATGAACTGGTCGTTTTGGTGTGTGGCGCGACGAGCTGGCATCCTACTATGCCGATTGCCGAACTTGAAATCAGATAAACGTCAGACGCCAGTCCAAAGATGTCAACACAGCATTTGGAGGAAAAGTGATGAAACGTGTAGTTGCTGTCCACCACAAACGGGGGGCCGCCGCATCCTCTGCAAAGCAGCAATGCGCACCTCGTGCAGGCAGCAACCGAAAGAACCTGAACTTACAGCACGACCTGCATTGTGAACTATATGACACTGTATATTTTAGCACAAACGTATTTTCTAAAGAAATATTTTGAAATTTCAAACTTTCAGCGCTCTTTTTTGGCGGTTTATTGTGCTAAATGAGTTTAATCAATTTCGTTCACATAAAAAAGCACGAAAAGATATCGGTTTCCAAAAAATAATCCTGGGCTCCAGTGTTTCCGTTAAAAGTATCTACGATACCTGAACTCTAACACAATCATCCCCGTCGAGTTGTGCCCCCCCCCCCCCCCCACCAGTCTCCAAAGCTTTTTTTATACGACTGCAGTACTCCACCAGCAGAGGGTGAAGGAGCCCCATAACCTTCGGCACTGACGATTTGTCAGTGACGAAGACCGCCTCGCCTTTCTTCTTCGAAACACTTTCTCTTAGGTGCAGCATCATGTCCATAATTTTTGCCCTACCGAAGATGAGCTCAAGCATAGACACGCGGTGCAGGTGGCACATCAACCTAACGGCTTTCCGAGCCTAAGCGAATCGATATCTTCAACACGGCGTTTCTCCAGGTACCATTCTAACACGCAAGCAAGAAGGGGCAGTTTAAAACGCTGGTCGCAAGTTGCGCGTCGCACTGCTTCATCATAGTCTGGCCAACTGCAAACTGACGAGTCTTTGGAAATCACGTTGCTCACAAATTTGTCTTCACATCTGAACCTTCCACTACGCCCGACTGTCGTTCTGCTTCGCCTTAATTAGCTGGCCTCCTTTCCGCCAATTATCATAAAGACCCCCCCCCCCCATACACACACACACACACACAAGTGACGCTGAAGTCATAGAGATAGCTCTAATAACCAGAAGCACCGCCTATACTTCGCGAGTCGTAGCCGCACCCCCATCAGAAGGCTTGACCCACCGCAGTGATAGTGTCGTCGCTGCAGACGTGTGTCCATGGTACCACTCTCATGGATCAACTCAGACCACGCTGAACCAGGAGATTTTGTCTACCCTACATGACGTGAATTTTGAATCTAACTCGGCACTCATTTCGTCATTTTTCAACACCGCGGATATAGATATTCGCGCGAACACTCGGTGGATGGTGCTAGTCACCGTCATACTTTGCGTGCAAATTCGCCAAATTGTGTCTTATCTTGGAGATCACAGTTTGAACTGCTCGCACCATTAAAAACAACTGCCAAACTTTAGGTAACGTTTACAAATACCTATAATTGAAAAAAAAATCGTCATTGTTGAAAACATTTACAATTGCTGACAAATATTGTATAACTGAGAAAATAAATGCTTTAATTCGATAAGCCAATCAGATGGTGCGAAAAGGACAACTTCAACTCGTGATCCTTACACTGCTTGCTTGTTGTTGTGGACGCTGTCATCGTCCACCTCCGTTGGTGCGAGGCCGCCGTGGACCGAGTCATCTTTCTCCCAGAGAGCTGCGTTGCCAGGCACCTTGATACCGAAAGTAGTTAATGCTGCTGCGGCTACGAAAATGCTCAAATACTTGAAGGACGTCGCGCGGTTGCCGATCCCCTTGAACATCAGACTCCAGCACAGAGCTCCAACGTTGCCTCCAGCCCCGACAAAGCCAGATGTGGCGCCCGTGAAGGCTGGTAGAACATACGGCACGATGCCGTATGTGCTGCCGGTGCAGGCCTGCACGAAGATGCCGAAGAAGACCAAGAGAGGAATACTGGTCGACAGATTCTTCGTCGTGCTGTACACGTACAGGAAGACAGCCTGGCCGGCAAAGGAGATAAACTGCACTCCAATCCGGCCTTTCATTCCGCAGCGGCGGTTTGCCACGTCCGAGAGGTACCCGCCTAATGCGCGTGCGAATATGCACATCAAGCCAAAGAGCGACGAGATGAGCGTGGCTCGACTTTGAGTCAGACGTCGACACTCGTTCGCGTCAGTCTCAGGGTCGCAGTTTGGGTAGGTGAAGTCCTCGTAGTAGTATTCAGTGAGTACGTTGTGTACCTGGAGTTCAACACCGAAGGAGCACGCATAATGGAAAGCCAGGATCCAGGTGACCGGCATCTTGGCGACATGCAGTAGACTCTGCTTCATGTCGACGGCAGGTTTCGTCGCTGCAGTGCTAAGAGTGGAGTTTTTGCGGAGGTCCTTGTATTGTCCTTGCGGACAGTCATCTGAATTAAAGTAGAGAGCGACACCGACGATGACCATGAAAAGTGCTGGGAAGAGGAGAGCTACGCGCCAGCCCATGTTGTCGGACAGAGCTCCGCCAGTGGTGACAAGATTGAAAAGCTGAGGTGTGATCAGGGTGGTAGCACCGGCACCGAGGTTCCCCCATCCAGCAGCGAGGGCGTTGGCGCTACCCACGACTTCTTTAGTAAACATGGTGGAGGTCCAATATGTCGTTGCAATGAAGGAGCAACCGACGAGACCAATGAAGAACCGAGCGAACATGAGCCCCGTGTAGCTCGTCACGAGTGAGGCTGAGGCCACGGGGATCGCACCGACAACCAATAGCACGGCCTGTACCGTCCTGGAGCCATAGCGATCGCACATCGGACCACCGACAGCACGTCCGAGAATGGTGCTTGCCACGGACACGATGTTGGAATTGGAAACTTGGTCAGCAGTTAAACCGAGTTGTTTCTTGATAGTGGGCATCAGAGGAGGGATGGAAAACCAGCCGAAGAAAGCGAAGAAGAAAGACAGCCACGCGTAGTGGAAGGCTCTCATGTGAGGACGTGCCACACTGAGCAGCTTGATCTCCGAAGCCTTGTCATTCTGCAACGGGTCCGTTCGGATTGGAAAGTCGGTGCGACGCTGGCGGACGCCGGCGTCCGCGTGTAGTGAAGGTGAGACCAACCCGACGTACTGGTCTGGGGATTGCATGGTTGGTGGTGGTTGTGCCGCGCGTGGCAAATCGAGAAGTGAGGTTGGGTCGAGCTAGCGGAACGATGTTGATATGAGTCATCCGTAAAAGACAACAGCGTTGCTCGTTCAAACGGCCGGAGCGTGGTCGCACATCGACAACAGACGGAGTTTAAAAGCTTACCCTTATGAACCGTTGTTGTACCGACACTCGCTGCGTCACGCACAGAGGGGAGATCACGCGCACTTGGTCATGCTCCAGATTGATCACCTTCGTGAGTCAGCCTTAATATCCACTGGGTCGTGAATTTGAAGTTTCTAGCGATTATGCGTGTTCAGTGCACGACTCGTTACTGGAGGCCGGTGCATCTCAATCGATTCCGGGGGTGAGATCCTAAAACGACAGGCGCCTGGAGGAACTGTGACTAGCCGTGCGTGAGCATCGCGAACGATGGACTGATTGGCCTCTCGCGGTCATGACGCGCTTGAGATCTACGTTGGCTTCCGGTGGCGGGGGAGCGGCTAGCGCAATCTCTTCGAGATCGACGCCGATGTTGGTGCTTTAGCCGGCAACATCCCAACGGCCCCACTTCCCGCCGTCATCCGATCGATCCAACCGCTCTTGTTCACGCTCGAGCGCAGCCCATCTTTACAAGGATTTGAGTCATCCCAAAATCAAGACATGCCGCGGCGGCGACGTGGTCCAATAAAAACGCACAGCGAAACCGGAACATGCGGTTGCATTGGTGAAAGACACAATGCGAGCGGGTGAGTCATCCTAACTGCTTGGGCACAAATGTGCTTCTCCATGGAGTGCTCACATTGCAATTCTCCGCGTAAGTGAGACCATGGCGCAGATTGATCCAAGAGATGTCGGCACACCGGACGAGTGGGTACCTCGACACCCGGAGCTGATCCGGCTCACGGGACGACACCCGTTCAACAGCGAACCCCCGCTCAAATACACGAGCACCTTCATCACACCCATGGCCTTGCACTACGTTCGCAACCACGGTCCTGTGCCGCGACTCGATTGGAACACGCACACGTTCTCAATCGACGGACTGGTGAACAAGCCGCGCACATTCGGTATGGACGAACTGGTTACCACCTTCGTAAAGGAGACCGTGACGTTTCCGGTGCTGCTGGTATGCGCCGGTAATCGCCGCAAGGAACAAAATATGATCAAGAAGACCATCGGCTTCAGTTGGGGCGCTGCCGGGTGCTCTACGGCCGAGTGGACCGGTGTCCCGCTTCACGTACTGCTGACTGCTTGTGGCGTCGACCGCGAGAAGGCACAGTGGGTATGGTTTGAGGGCATCGAAGACTTACCGCACGACAAATACGGCACGTGCATTCGCGCCAGTACAGCACTGGACCCGGCGTGCGACGTGCTGGTGGCGTGGAAAGCCAACGGCGAGCTGCTCACCCCCGATCACGGTTTTCCAATACGCCTCATTATCCCGGGTCACATCGGCGGTCGCATGGTCAAGTGGCTCGCACGGATCCATGTGAGCGACCAAGAGTCCACCAACCACCACCACATTATGGACAACCGAGTGCTGCCGTCGCACGTCACTGCTGAGACTGCAACGGCGGAAGGTTGGTGGTCAAAGTCGCCGTACGCGATCATGGAGCTCAATGTCAACGCCGCGATCATAAAACCAAACCATGACGACTTGTTGGCTCTCAGTGAAGACGACACGGTTAATGACATTGAAACGTACACGATTAAGGGGTACGCGTATTCAGGTGGGGGTCGACGAGTGATTCGAGTAGAGGTGACGCTGGACGATGGCGCAACGTGGCAACTCGCTCACATCATTTACCACGAGAGGCCAAGCAAGTACGGCAAAATGTGGTGCTGGGTGCACTACGAGTTGGCCGTGCAAGTTAGCAGTCTGCTTCGAGCCCGAGAGGTGTGTGCTCGAGCTTGGGACAGCTCGATGAACCTCATGCCAGAGTTCCCTACTTGGAACGTCATGGGCATGATGAATAACCCTTGGTATCGCGTCAAGATCCACCACGAACAGGGCACGAACACGCTGCGGTTCGAGCACCCTACTCAAGCAGGAAACCAGAAAGGTGGTTGGATGACCAAAGAACGGATCATGACAAACGACAACGAACCAATTCGCGGCAAGAAGCTCCAGGTTGAACTGATTGATACGAGCAGTGATGCAACACCAAAACCTGGTTTGACAGCAGATGAGTTCAGCGAGCTGCCTCTGATCTCTGCAGATGAAGTAGCTAAGCACAACACCAACGAGAGCTGCTGGTTCATTTGTCGTGGTCTGGTATACGACGCGACGCCGTTTCTCGATGAACACCCAGGTGGAGCCACCAGTATTCTGCTGTGTGGCGGCACTGACTGTACGGATGAGTTTGAGAGCATTCACTCTACCAAAGCTTGGCTGATGCTGAAGAAATACTGCATCGGCCGTTGTCCAAGCACGGACGACGACACTGGGACCAGCGATACAGCGTCGTCCTCAGCAGACCAGGAAGAGACGGATGTGGCGCTCAAAGGTGCTACAAAGGTGCCTATCGTACTGATCTCGAGAGAGGTGGTCAGCCACGACGCACGCATCTTCAAATTTGCTCTTCCTGCCAAGGATCTGAGACTCGGACTTCCCGTAGGCAACCACGTTTTCCTGTACGCAAATATCAACGGGAAGACCATCGTGCGTGCGTACACACCAATTTCTTCCGAGAGCGACGAAGACCGAGGATTCGTGTCTTTCCTTATCAAAGTCTACTTTGCAGGGGACAACCCTGTACACCCAGAAGGAGGGCTCTTCTCGCAGTATCTTGATGGCTTGCACCTTGGTCAACAGATTCAGATCAAGGGACCATTGGGCCACTTCACCTATCATGGGGAAGGCAGTTTCTCTCTCGAATCTACCAATTTCCACGTCAACAAGTTCGGATTCATCGCCGGCGGAACAGGCATCACGCCCGTCTACCAGGTCATGCGCGCCATTCTTGAAAACGCAAAGGATCAGACCAAGGTTGCATTGATCTATTGCGTACGATCGGAGCGTGACTTGCTGCTCCGAAAGGAGCTTGAAACCCTACAAAAGCTGCGACCGAGTCAATGTCGGATCTTCTACACGCTGTCCGACCTGGAACAGCTCGACAAGAACGATCCTATTGTTCGAGGGTGGGCATACGGCAAAAGTCGACTCAACTTCGCCATGGTGAAGAACATCATCGGCTCGGATGCTGATCACGTGGGCATGTGTGGACCCGAAGGTATGATTGAGTACGCCTGTAAGCCGGCGCTGCTCAAGCTGAACTACGATCTCAAGACGCAGACCACCGCATTTTAAATGCCATACTCCTTTGTTTAACTAAAATAAAAAAATGAGTTCTAAATGGGGATAGCATTAAGGTCACTCATCCGTCAGCGCCGTCTTCACCTACAAACACGGTGCTCCTTCTGCCTAGTTGCATAGGTCAAGCAAAGGTGCCTGCACCAAGCACCTTGCACCTCTGGTTCCTCATATCCAATTGAATTGAATTGATAGCGGTTTTGTCGGCTAAGTCACCCTGCGCGCAGCAGCGGCGCAGCATACAGGAGATTCGCTAAGCGAGTCCCTGCAGTACTACTAATAGCCATATCCACCATTATCCCGTGATTCCTGTGGTCCAGCACGTTCACATCGTTCGCGAATTTCGGATGACTCAGTCCCAAGCGCAAACGCCCATCCCTCTTTCGGATTGGTGACGCTACAGACAGGCGATGCTTTCTGAAGTTGCCGTGGTCGGATTGGGCAGAGAAAGCGCGTCACGCCATCGCCTTGTTGAGCACTGCAATCTGTGCACCATGCGTCATCTACGGTGAGTCACCACTCTTTCGAGCTCTGCTTTGAATAACGGATTGCCGGTGGTGGTTCATTTTCCAATCTTCCGAGTGCACAACAGTTCACCCACCACCCACCTTCGTGGAATTCAATATGACCGAGGTGGTCGTGGTTGTGGGCAACGGCATGGTAGGCCACCGGTTCCTGGAACGGCTCCGCAAGTACGATACCAGTAAGCACTTCACGCTCGTGTCTATCGGAGAAGAGCCCATTCAGCACTATAACCGCATGCTGCTTACCGAGTACTTCGAGCATTTGAGCATCGACAAGCTAAAGTTGGCGCCACCGAACTGGTATGCTGAAAACGAGATCGAACTCATGACCAACACCCAAGCTTTGGCATTGGATACGAAGAACAAGAAGTTGCTATGCCAGCGACTGGGTGGCGATGTACCGCAGCAATTTGAGGTGCCGTACGACCGCGTTGTGATCGCTACGGGTGCTAGTGCCTTGATGCCTCAGCTTCCTGGTGTAATCCTACACGGGGTGTTCGTGTACCGTTCCATCGCTGATCTCAATAGCATCATCGCACATGCCGAGAATCAAGCTAAACTTGAGTCTGCTGGGGCCGCGAAGAAGTACGCGTTGGTGATTGGCGGCGGTCTTCTGGGACTGGAGGCCGCTAAGGCCGTCCACGACCTGAACGTGTCCGTACGGATCATCAACCGCGGCACTCGACTGATGTCGCGTCAACTTGACGCCGATGGAGCTAAAGTTCTTCACAACGAGATCGTCAACAAGTTTGGGATGGACGTGCTCTACGAAAAATCAACCCAAGAGATCATCGGGACGGAGGAGAACGGTGTGGAGGCAGTGACGTTCACCAACGGTGAGCGCTTTGACGACGTGTGCATGATCATTTTCGCTACTGGAATCCAGCCACGCGACGAGTTGGCCCATTCCAGTGGTCTCGAGCTTGCAAAACGGGGAGGGATCCTCATCAACGACTACTTGGAGTGCAGTGAACCAGATGTGTACGGTATTGGGGAGTGCATTTCGCACCGCAACGTCACGTACGGTCTCGTCGCCCCAGGATACGAAATGGCAGACATCTTGGCCAAGAACTTCACTTGTGAATCTTTAGAGAATCGTATCACATTCCCCGGTGGAGATATCTCTACTAAGCTCAAGCTTATGGGGATGGAGGTGGGCTCGTTTGGTGACTATTTCCCAGAGTTCATCAAGGAGCCGTTCGAGGCTCTGACCTACAATAATCCGCTCGAGAAGGTGTACAAGAAGCTCTTCTTCTCATCGGATGGGAGCAAACTCCTGGGTGGAATTCTGGTAGGTGACACGAGTGACTTTGTGCGGCTGTCTCTCATGTACAAGCAGAAAGATACCAAACCTTTGGTAGACCCGCCGAACGAAATCCTACTTGGGAAGAGAGGCGGTGATGGCGGTAATACTGTACTGGATCTACCGGACGAAGCTCAAGTTTGTTCGTGCAACAACGTGAGCAAAGGAGACATCTGTAAGGCCATCAAGGACAAGAAATTAACGAAGCTCGGAGACGTAAAGAAAGTCTGCAACGTTGGCACAGGCTGTGGAGGCTGCATGCCCATGGTGAAAGACATTCTGGAAGCCGAACTTGCTGCTGCCGGCGCTGAAGTTGACAAATCTCTGTGCGAACATTTCGCTTATTCGCGCCAGGAGCTCTACCAGATCATTCAAGTAGAACAGTACGCCACATTCGCTGAAGTCTTGGCCAAGCACGGCCGCAAACAGCACGATCCTCGTAGCTACGGATGTGAAATCTGCAAGCCCACAATCGCCTCCATCCTTGCCAGTCTTCAGAACGGGCATATCCTCAAAGGAGATCGTGCTGCACTTCAGGACTCGAACGACCGGTTCTTGGCCAACCTGCAGAAATCGGGTCAATTCTCTGTTGTACCACGCGTAGCTGGTGGAGAGATCACGCCTGACAAGCTTATTGTGCTTGGTCAAGTTGCCAAGAAGTTCGATCTGTACACCAAAATTACCGGTGGACAACGCGTGGATCTGTTCGGCGCCCAGAAGCAGGACTTGCCCGAGATCTGGAGGATGCTGGTGGGTGCTGGTTTTGAGTCGGGTCATGCGTACGGCAAGGCACTGCGAACAGTGAAGAGCTGTGTGGGTACGACGTGGTGTCGCTACGGCCAACAGGACTCGGTAGGGTTCGCAATCTTCCTCGAGAACCGCTACCGAGGCATCCGTTCACCGCATAAACTCAAGGGAGGCGTCTCCGGATGCACTCGTGAGTGTGCTGAAGCTCGCAGCAAGGACTTCGGCTGTATCGCCACTGATCAAGGATACAATGTGTACGTGGGAGGCAATGGCGGCACGAATCCACGTCATGCTACGCTACTAGCCTCTGATGTTCCACAAGAATTGGCTGTGAAGTACCTGGATCGGTACATCATGTACTACATCATGACGGCCGACCGTCTGCAGCGCACATCCAAGTGGCTGGATGCACTGGAAGGCGGCATTGAACAGCTTCGTCGTGTGGTTATGGAGGACTCGCTGGGTATTTGTGCCACACTAGAGAAGCAGATGAGTTACCTGGTCGGAACCTACGAGTGCGAGTGGAAGAAGGTGATCGAGTCGCCTGAACTCATGGCTCAGTTCGCACAGTTCAAGAACACTAACAAAACCCAAAAGGAAGTCCAAATGCAAACCGTTAGAGATCAGCGCATACCGACGTTTGTGGCACACGCTAAGACCGGCAGCAGTGGAACCGGCACCGAGTCTTCGTCTCCAGCATCAACCACCTCAGTGTTATCCGATCTCGATGAGACGGAATGGGTCTCCTTTGGTAGCAAGGACCGTTTCGATATGAACGGCGGTGGTGCGGTGCTGTACGGCGAGTCACAGTTGGCCATCTTTAACATTACGGAGAGCTGCAACGGCATCGAGAAGGTATCCTGGTATGCCACGCAGAACATGTGCCCGTATGACCACTCGTTCGTGTTGGCTCAGGGTATCGTGGGCGATCTGGACGGCAGACCGAAAGTGGCTTGCCCCATGCACAAACGCAACTTCGATCTCAGTGATGGATGCTGCATCAGTGGCGATGACTTCCGTCTTCAGACTTTCGATACCAAGGAAGAGGACGGCATCATTTACGTCCTGTTACCACCCATGGATGTGGTAAACGCACGTTTGGCAACCTCCAAGTTCGTTGCAAAGGACGGCGATGCCCCTGTAGTGCCGGAGGTGTCGAGATCACCTGCCACGCTTGACTGGTAACGTCACCGTCGTTGTGTTAGTGTCAACAGTATTTGATAGCTATGTCATGTATTGCAATGCGTTCCTAGCAATTTTCAGCGCATTTCATTTTAATTCACCTTATTTGCGATCTTCATGCAGGCTTGCACCAGCAGCACGTACGACACAATGGTGAACGTTTTTTCCTGCATCCGCTGTGATATGGTAGGCATGGAGGTAATGTCGGCACTTTCAGCCTGGAGTTCACGGATCAGCCGTCTTTCAAATACTTGAACATCTTCGTAGACGCAGCAGCATGACTACTTTCGGTATCAAGGTGCTAGGCGACGCAGCTCTCTGCTAACTCAGTCCATGACCAATGGAGACAGTCCATGGCCAATGTCCATGGCAAATTGAGACAGAGTCCACAACTGCGAAAAAGGAAACCGTGTTGAAGTTGTCCTTTTCACACCATCTGATTGGCTTCTCCCAATCATAACATTTTGTTCTCAGTAATACAATATTTGTCAGCAATTGTAAAGGTTCCCAACGATTCAAAAAGTCTCGACATTTTTTTTGGGAATATTTACAATCTCAGTATTGTAAATATTGACTTCAGTTCAATATTTGTCGGCTATTGTGAATGTAGCCACTGCGGTCTGATCGCCAGAAATACAAAGCATTCACTGCTGCACCATGCCCATGCATGTACTCCCCGCGGCACTCGTTCTTCGCTTCCCCGCAGCTGGAACTGCACCTCAAATTGTAGCATTCGATTCCCTACTACATGTAATCAGAATTTTCAGCGACCACTTAATTCACCCAGTCTACGGATGGAGTTTGAGATCATCACCGTTCCGGTGTTCCAGGAGTTCATTTATCGAAGCTGAGGATGGTGCTTATCCATCCCTCCATCGATCTTAAACTCACAAACGGACGGGTACATCGTTGCATTGAAGTCCAAGTAAACGCAAGTCAAGCAATGAAAAAGTGATAGCACAACCGTCCAAGGGGAAAAGGAAATATTTTATTGCTTTCCGAAGAAACGAGCTATTGGCTTCCTCCTTCGCTGCTGCGGCAGCAGCCGCAAGGAAAAGAAGAAGGACGAGAACCCACGCTACGACTTTGATTTTCCCCGATTCGCTTGCTTCGCCGTCGATTTCAACCTGAAAGGAATGAAGCATCGCCAAGTCTCTCGCTGCAGCATCATCATCCGCTAAGCAGCGACGAGGACAGCAGAAGTGACGACCTTAAGCGGTCGTTTTCTTCTTCTTCTTCTTGTTCTTCTTCTTCAAAGAAGTAGCAAGAATCTTGGCAGTCTCGTCGTCTACGGTCTTCTCCGAGTGCACCTTGTCACTGGGGAATGGGAGGCCCGTGATCTTAGTGGTGCCGTTAGGCAGCAGCAGCACCGTAACCTTAAAGTGAGCCACCTTATCGCCCTCGCGGCCCTCCAGGATAGGGTACGCCTGCAGCAGGTCGTGCTTGACGCACTCGACGACACCCATACGAGCCTGGCTCTCGTCCTCAAAGGCGCGAATGGTGAAGGGCAGAGTGGGGAACTTGTTGTTGATCTCCTTGAAGACATAACGCGAAGCCTTCATCTTGAGACGGTACTGCTTGTCCACCTGGCGCTTGAACACCGTGGTGCGGCGCTCGCTGTTCACGGGCTTGTCACCGCCGGTGGTGTAGCACACATCAATAGTGTACACCTCATTGGGCTCGAACGTAACCTTGGGGGTACGATTCTCCACGTCCATCTTCTGGGCAATGATCTTGTTGCCGTCGATCACGAAGCGCTTCAGCTGGTGCATAAGCGTTCCCTGCAGACTCTTAACGCCGTACGACTCCTCGAGCTTCGTCAGCGCCTCAGTCACCTGCAAGTTGGTGTTGCCAGGCTTAATAAGGCGCGCGCACAGCTCCACAGCGTCGTGGGCACACTTGAGCACGTCGGCCTCCTCGCCCTTAAGCTCAGGGAACTCGGCGTCAGCAGCCGAGCCCTCGGCGGGAACGATAGCCGTGTGGGCCACGACGGCAATGTAGCCATCAATGTGGCAGCCCAGGTCGATCTTGACCCAGTCGCCGGCCTTCACAGTCATGGACTCATTGGCCAGAGGCGAGTAGTGGCACAGGATCTCGTTGACCGAGATGGATGTGGGGAAGGCCACTCCCTTGTCCACCTTCTTGCTCTTGAAGATGCCGGCGCAGCGCTGCTCCACGATCAGATCGCCGAACTTGCACAGCTCCACCACGTCCTTACCAGCCTCGAGCTGCGAGAGCACGCCCTGCAGCGCCGACTGCGCGATCTCGGCCGCCAGTTTGTACTTGGTGACCACATCTGAGTTGCTGCAGTCCTCGACCTCCTCCGGCGGGGTCTGCACCTCCTCCTCCACGTCGCTCACGTCGCTCACACTGCGCTCGTCGTCCGAAGGCATCGTTAATCCACTTTGACTACTGGCCGTAAAGATATCGAGTCGAATTGGAAAGGGGGAGGATCCTAGCCACCGGTTTACAGTGATATCGTGACCTGTCACTATTGCGAGGCAAATATGAAAGAAAGCGCTTTTCGAAACAACGTTTTCGAAAAAAGTGCACACACGATTCCGTCCACCATAGTGAAACCAAAATCAAAGTGAACAGAAAGCCGTTTTTTTAAAGAAAAATATTTTTCAGAATAAAAATAGAATAGTCCGATGCTTTCTATTCGCTGAAACACTATTTGTGCTTCATCCAATGGGAGGTCCAGGACTATTTTAGAGGTTGGAAATAGTCCCGCTCGCGAACACCGTCAGTCTCTAACGTTCGCGCCAAAACGAGAGTATGGCGGAGGAGATCGTGCCCAACTCAGTGGGCTGGTACATCCTGGAGGGGTACCCTTGGTGGCCCGTGTACATCTGCGACGTGTTCAAGCTCCGACCGAACCTGCACCTTCTGGGCAGCGGCCACAAGAAGATCCTGAAGAAGGCGCGGGACTTTCCGAACGACTTTATCGTCGTCTACTACTTCGGCTCGCATGACTTGTACGTACCCTGGCTGGAAATTACGGGGCCAATTAGAGTACTACTCTAACTGATACTTTTCGTAGCTCACTAGTGGGGCTGAAGAAGGGCGTGTTGCGGCCATGGGACTGTCCGCAGAAGGACCAATTCCTTAAAGGCCACCCTAAGCACTTGGCTAAGAAGAAAGGGGTGATGGAGGAGCTCTTGGATGCGGTACATGAGGCCGAGGAGTATCTATCACAGCCCGAGGACATCCGTCTACCGCAGCATATGGTACCGTCCGATCTAGACCCGACACTGGAGCCTCCACCGCCCGAACTGGTGCCTCAAGAAGTGGCTGTGGACCCCGAGATGGACGAGGACGAGCCTATGGACGAGGACGACGACGCTCCGGAAGACGATGACGAAGAGAAGAAGCGGAAGAGAAAGGAGAAAAAAGAGAAAAAGAAGAAAGACAAAGTGAAGAAGGAGAAGAAAGACAAGAAGCGCAAGAGCGAGTCAGCGAAGAAGACGTCACCGAAAGTAGCCAAGACGTCGGGCACGGACGTCAAGAGCCAGTCTGTAGTTAAAGAACCCACGGAAGAGAAGAAGCCTCCCCCACCGGATATGACGACCGAGGCGCTGAGTATTGTCCTGGAGAAGGAGATCCGCTGGATCCTAGTGAACTGCCCGTTTGAGGAGATGACGACCAAGACGGTGCGGAAGCTGCTGGAGGACCGACTGCACATGGATCTGCGTCACCACAAGGCGTCGATTAAAGAAGGAGTGGCGAGAGTTATTGCGTCCATGGAGGAGGAAGACGCAGCTGACTCGACTTCCACTGCGCCTGAGGAGACTACGGCGCCTATTGATGATGCAGTGAAGACTGAAGTTAAGGTGGAACCGAGCGAACCGGTCGTACCAGTGACACCTGACGTTACCGTGAAGAAAGAAGAGGAGGCTGTGGATGAAGAAACTGGCGTTGAGAGGATGAAGAAGGAGCTTGAAGCAGCGTCGAAGAATCTGTCGCTGGCGTTGGAATTAGAGCCCAAGATCATGGACGCGCTGGAATCGTTGAAGACGTTAGACAGTGTAGACAAGGACGTGCTGGCGACGTCGACTTTGCAGCCTAGACTCGTGAAGCTGCGAGCGCACAGGTCGTCGAAGATCTCGGATCTGGTGACGCTGTTGGTGAAAAAGTGGAACGTCGAGGAGCTGGTTCCAGCGCCCAAACCCATCACGAAGGAAGAGATTCTGGAGCTCAAGACCAAGTTGGAGGACTCGGAGACGTCACATGACGAGTTGCTGGTGTGTTTGAACCAGCTGGGCGAGGTACGTTCTGCAATGTGGCTTGAAGAGAGGGTCTATTATTTGACTTTTTTGTTCTGTAGATGCCTTTGACAATAGATCACTTGAAGAAGACGGGAATTGCACGCACTGTGTCCAACTTACGCCAGCATGGGTACGTTTTGTGATTAAGGTGTTCCTTATAAGGTATTGGTTGTTTAATTGGTTCTTCATTTTGTTGCAGGAATGACAAGGTTTCTGCTAAAGCACACGAACTTCGGCAAAAGTGGATGAAGCAGAATGAGCAGTCGAAAGACAACGGTGAGTTTCTACCAGTTCTAGAGACCAATGGTGGAGTTCTGATGAGTCTTTTCTATCGTAGATTCCGGCTCAAATCCACTCAAGACTCTTAAGACGCTGAATCGGGTTTTGGACCAACATAGTGACGGCACTGACGAGCACAAGATTCACAGCAAACAGATGGCTGCGCTCGAACAGCTTCACAGTATGACGCTGGATACTCAAGACATCATCGACTCGAAAGTTGGAATCTCGGTGTCCAAACTGCGCAAGTCCAGGTACGGTATTGTACTGCAGCAAGTTTTACGAAGACGATGGCAGCTCTAACTGTGTAATTGATTGGGTTATGGCAGCAACGATAAAGTAGCTAAGTTAGCGAAGAAACTTCGAAAGAAGTGGCAAGCTGAAGCCAAGGCCAAACCCGCTGCCTAGATGTTACAAAGACCGACGTCACGACGCTCGAGACGGAAAGAACGACGTATTTGTAGCAGCTGTACTTTTCCGCTGGTGGCAGAGTGCTACTTGTGGTAATGACGAGGATGAGGATGAGATATTCAAAGTGAGGATCTTTTGGTCGATGGCGCTTGTGCTCACGTACAAGAATGGTTTTGCGCCCCTTATTGACGAGCATTACGCAGCTGCCAACAAGCTGGCGTATGAACCAGCAGAGATTCAAGCGTCTGTAGTTATCGTAACAACGCGCAGTTTGGTGAGCTCGAATTCTCGTCTTGTGCTTGTGTTCGAATACTTTTCGTCGAGCTTTTGCCCGTCAGCGACTGCCAACAAGCCAACAAAAACTTGCAACGGATCCGTGCAGTAAATGGTTCATGTTAGTGTGAAACAGATGAATACATTGGCAATTAAGAGTCTAATTGGCGTTCTTGGCCTTGGTCTTCCGCTTGCGCTTCTTGGAGACCTCCTTGGTCGCTGCAGTCTCAGCCTCTTTCGGCTTGTCCTTCTCAGCTTCGATCTTGGCACGTTTGTCCTCCAGCTTCTGAATCTTGTCGGCCTTCTTGCCCAGACCGTACTGCATGCGGTCATACAGACGCTTGGCCTTCTTCGACATCATCGTCTTGGCCAGCTCCTTGAGCTCGGCAGCCTCCTCTTCCTTCTTAACACGCTTCGACTTCTTCTCAGTCGATGGCTCAGCCTTGCGCTTAAGACTCTTCTCTTCCTTCTCTTCCTCTTCCTCTTCTTCATCGTCGTCACTATCCGCTTCACTGTCCTCCTTATCCTGACCATCCATCTCAGCCTTAAGATCAGCAGCGTAGGCCTCCTCCTGCTCCTCTGCGTCTTCTTCTTCAGAGTCCGAGGCTTCCTCATCGCCCACAGCTCCAACCTCACGCAACACCTGCGACGCCGACTTGAGCTTGTCCAGCTCCTTCCTGTACTCCGGCGTGTACCCTTCTTGTTGATCATTGACGAACGGCGAAAGATGAGGCGGTAGCTCAGCACCAGGCACGTAACGCGTCAAAGGCAGCAATATGCCGTTGTTCACCGAGTCAAACACCCACTGCGGCTGCACGTATTCGCGGTTAAAGTAGCGATGACCCTGGTGCGGCCGGTCCATGATATGGTGCGTGATACGAGTGCTCTTCTCGTCGAACGGAGAGCCTTCTCCATCCCAGCCCAACGTGGCGCCGTGAGAGCGTAGAACCAGCTCCAGACAACCAGCAGGCACCTCACGCGACAGGAAGAACGTCAAGCCACTGAACAAGCTCTTCTCGCTGCGTTCCTTGCGTTTCTCGCTGTAGATCTGCGCTGCCAGCTCGTTCGAGGCAAAAGCAGCTTCAAGCGGCTCGCTCATCTCTCCATACGTTGCTTCTTCTTCTTCGTACTCTTCAACGTTGTCGTGTTTGATAGCATTGAGAGTCTTGATCCTCTTCTCGGACTCCTTCTGCTGTTGAGAAATGTCCGTAGACGGCTCTTGTTCTTCTTGTTCTTCCGTCTCTTCTTCATTCTCTTCTTTTTTGACTCGTTCAAGCTCAAGAGAAGCCAACTGAGCACCCGCAGCGTCCAACTGGAGGTTGATCTTGGGAGGATACGCCACGCCGATCTGCATGTAGAGCTGGGCGTTCACGAACTTGAGTAGAACCTCGTAGAACTCGAGGAATGTGAGCATGACACGCACATCCACACGCTTGTCCACTGTAGGGGTGAACTGGTGGGGCACGAGCCACGTGATGGTCTGACCCTGCACGTTGGCTTGGTAGTAGATGCCCTTAATGCTCACAAACACCTTGGTCAGCGCTCTGGTGGCTACAATGTAGTTCTGCCACTCACGCACAAGACGCAGACACATACTCGTGACCTCAGCGTGCACTCCGTTGCCCGTAGGCATCAAAGCGAACAAATGCACGAGACACAGCGCGTCGTCCAGATCGCCTAGAGCGTCCACAAAGCGAGGATAACGCTCCTTAACGATGTGGTCCAGTTCGTAGGTAGGGCGGTTCTCGTGCTTGCGCTTGGCGTCCTCGTAGTCCTTCTTGCCCATGGCTTTTTTCACTTTTTTCATAAACGTTTTAAACGCCCGGAATTTTTCAAGAACCGGTTCGTGCGCCAGGAACATGACGTCTTTGAGGTAGTAGTACGTCTTATCCTTGCCCGAGGGCTTCTTTTTGGGCTCGCGAGGGTAGATTCCCTTCAAGATGCACAGACGACGGAAGTCTTTGAGCGACACCTGCAGCCGCTTGAGCGCCTGACTGCGCGTGATGTAGTTGGCCGCAGAGCCGCGCATGCCCTTGCGCTGCTCCTTGCCGAGCTTGGCCAAGCGGCGCTTGCTGCCCATCGCATCGGTCTGCTTGGCCTTGATGGACTTGAGCTTCTTCTTGCCCTTGACGCGCTTAGTCGGCATGGTTCCCTTGGGTAGAGCGAAGGTAGAACGGCAACTGGAAGGTTGAGTCTTTTGAGCTCCAGTCGTTTTGGCCAGTCAATTGAAAGACGAGCGTGATTGGGTGAAAATGGTTAGAAATGAAGATGTGATTGGATGATATTTGAAATGGTACACTGTACCATTGTTTTTGTGACGTTTCGTTGGTGGCAACGCATTGTTGATTGACACGCTACGAGGAATCTTTGACTGCGTGTGGGTGACCATGGCGGCGAAGAAAAGGAAGCAGAGTGGCCATGCGAAAGCTAAGAAAAAAGCCAAGACAACGGAGGCTGTAGTCACGCAGGAACGGGCGGAAAAGATGCTGCAGGAGCCACAGGAGAATGAGACAAACATGGAACACGAGCAAGACGAAACTACGACTTCCGAAGCTTCTGGGCTGCTTTCAGCTGAACTATTGGAAGAAATGGGTGGAGAAGATGCTGGCGGTGTGTTGGTGTTACCAGGTCGCCGTGAGAAGAAGCAGAAGACCGATAAAATGCCCGACGAGCTGCTAGAACAGGCACAGCACATGAGCAAGAGCAAACGCAAGAAACTAGAAGCCATCGCAGCCAGAAAAGTGAAGGAGGCAAGGCGCGCAGATTTGTACAAGTCTTTGGAGAAGCAACAGCTCTCTCAAGACCAGATGAAGCTCCTGTACAGCACGTCACAGATGGGTCACAAGGAGACACTACGGGAACGACTCAAACGCTCGCTAAACCGACAAAAAGCAGGCATCGAACTCTCGGAAGATGCCAAGAGTGAGCTTTTTAAGAAGCAGGATGTACGTGAACAAGACGAGGACGAGTCTATGGAGGAGACGAAGCCTAAGGAGAAGAATTCTGACCGTGTTAAGAGTACTGAAGCTCAAGTTATTAATGACAAGCCTGACAATGACGCTGTCCAGGATAAAACTGGTAAGAAGAAGCGTCGTAAGAAAAAAGCGGCAGTAGTGAGTCGTTCAGTTCCGATGTTGGAGACACAAGAGGAAGCTCCAGTGGCTGGGAGCAGTGACGCTGCGTCTGCCATGGCTATCCAACACACAGAAGAGAATCCTGAAGAAGAAGCCAAGCGAACAAGCTCTCAAAGTGCAGCGATGACTAAACTAGAAGCTCTGCGCAAGAAGAACGAGGAGAAGCGTCGTCTACGCGCTCTCTCTAAGCCACAAACAGCAGATATTCCCAAGCAAGAGGAGCCGACAGTAAACCCTTCTGACGCGTACGTTCCCAAGCCGATCGTGATGAAAACTGCCGAGGAAATGCGCGCACTGAGCAAGAAGACCAAGATATCATACAAGAACACTCTGGTTACTCTGTCACGCAAGCCGGAGATCCAGATGGCGCGTATGCAGCTCCCTGTGTGCAGTTCAGAGCAGGAGATCATGGAGGCTATCACTGACAACGACGTCATCATTCTATGCGGAGAAACGGGCAGTGGTAAGACCACGCAGGTGCCTCAATTCCTCTACGAAGCAGGCTATGGCCACCCTGATCACCCGAGCAACAGCGGACGCATCGGAGTCACTCAACCACGTCGTGTCGCTGCCGTATCCACCGCCAAACGTGTCGCCGAAGAGCTGAACGTGCCGTTCGGAGCGCCTAAGGGCCACGTGGGATACCAGATCCGATACGACGCCGAACACGTGAGTGAACACACGCGTATCAAGTTCATGACGGACGGTATTCTACTCAAGGAGATCCAGCAAGATTTCTTGCTACGTCAGTACTCCATCCTGTTGCTGGATGAGGCTCATGAACGCAATGTGAACACAGATATCCTGATCGGTTTACTGTCTCGTATCGCTCCGTTGCGAGCTCAAATGTCGCGAGAGGAGGAAGAAGCGTACAATTCGTTGTCTGACGAAGAGAGAGAGGCTGCTGACAAGCCTATTAAGCCTCTAAAACTGGTGATTATGTCGGCTACGTTGCGTGTGGAGGACTTTACACAGAACCAGAGATTGTTCCCCAATCCGCCGCCCGTGCTTCGTGTGGATGCTCGACAGTATCCGGTTACTATACACTTTAACAAACGCACAGAGTTGGATAACTACGTGGACGAAGCGTACAAGAAGGTGATTAAGATCCACAAGAAACTCCCAGAAGGTGGCGTACTGGTCTTTCTCACAGGACAGCGCGAGATCCTGCAGTTGTGTCGCAAGCTCAGTCGAGCATATTCTGTCGCTGCAAGGAACAAGAAGGCAGCAGCGCTGAAGAGCAGTCGATCGTTCCGTGCACAACGCAGACAAACCGAGACGTCGAGTAAAGAGGATTTCTTACGGGAACACGATGATATCGAAGAAGAAGCGGACTTGGAGGACGCTCAAGTGTACGGCACTGAGGATATTGAAGACCCCACGTACGAGTTGGAAGAAGAGCAGAATTCTGACGATGAAGACGAAGAGATGGAAGAGCTGGCTGTGCCCTATTTACACGTGCTTCCGCTGTACTCGTTGCTGCCTAACGACGAGCAGATGAAGGTCTTTGACACGCCTCCGGAGAACCACCGACTGGTCGTTGTAGCTACCAACGTGGCTGAGACTTCGCTGACAATCCCTGGTATCAAGTACGTGGTGGACGCTGGACGTACCAAGGAGCGTGTGTTTGATCTGGCGAACGGCATTTCGTCCTTTGAAGTCCAGTGGATCTCCAAGGCCAGCGCGGATCAACGTGCCGGTCGTGCAGGTCGTACAGGACCCGGTCACTGCTACCGTTTGTACTCTTCTGCAGTGTATGACACGGAGTTCCAGAAGTTCTCGTCTCCTGAGATCCTGTGCCAACCTATCGATGACTTGGTGCTGCAGATGAAAGCCATGGGTATCCACAACGTGCTGCAGTTCCCGTTCCCGACACCGCCAGACCGTCAAGCAGTGAAGAACGCGCTTGCAACGCTCGTCAACCTCGGTGCTGTGTCTCCAGGTGACGACGAGGCTATCACTGGACTAGGTCGCGCTCTAGTCAAGTTCCCTGTAGCTGCTCGGTTTGCTAAGATGCTGTTGCTGGCACAGAAGCTGAACGTCGTCGAGTACACGATTGCTATCGTCGCTGGTCTGTCCGGTCACTCTCCGTTCATCCACGCTTTGGATCGTCGTGAGAAGGAGAAGAATGAAGAAGAGAACGATGAAGAGAAGAGCGAAATGGAAGAAATGGAGAAGGAATGGCGAGAGGCAGAAGAGATGCGCAAACACGCACAGTGGATCGATCAGGAGAGCGACGTCTTGAGTCTGCTGCGTGCTGCTGGCGCCTATGCGTACACAGGGGGAAGCAGTCAGTTCTGTAAGGACAACCATCTGCACGAGAAGACCATGCAGAATATGCTCAAGCTGCGTCAACAATTGACTAGAATTGTCAATAAACTGTACGCAGAGGAGGATGCTATTGAACTCAAGCCGAAGATGCCGCCTCCAGACCTAGAAACGCAAGTTGTACTGCGTCAGATCGTAGCTGCTGGATTCCTTGATCAAGTTGCCAAGCGTGTACCGGCTGGAACAATCACGGAAGGCACCAAGATCGAGCGTAACTGTGCGTACATTGCAGCTACGGGTCAAGTGAAGGAGCCTGTGTACATCCACCCGCACTCGTCAGTATTCACGCCCAACCCGAGCAAGCTACCGCAGTTTGTAGTGTACCAACACATCATGCGGACAACCCGTGCGTACATGAAGATGGTGACTGCTATTGAACCGGAATGGCTGGCAGGTATCGGCAAGAACACGCCGTTGTGTAAATATGCACCGCCATTGGCCGAGCCAGCGCCGTTCTACCATCCAGAACTGGACGAGGTGCAGTGCTATGCCAAGGCGCAGTATGGAATGCATCAGTGGTCTCTACCGGCCATGCGCATATCGTACCCGGACCAAGATGCATCGGAGTCGAAGGACGGACTGGGCGGGAAGTATCGCTGGTTTGCCAAGTTTCTACTGGATGGACAAGTTATTACTAGTCTGCGGCCGTTCTCGAGCGCTCTGAAGGAGCCTAGTCACACGTTGATCCGCAAGAAGTTCGACAAGAAGATTCAATTGTTGGTTGCTAAGTTGCAGCAAAACCGAGTGGCTTCACGTCGTGCACTTGTTGATAGATGGAGTAAGGCAGATGGGAAGCTGTTTCTTAAGGCGGAATTGCAGAGCTGGATCAAGGATAGTCATCAGACTGTATTCAGTCAGGCATGGGGAGCGCTAGTTAAGACAGCAGTGCAGGAGAAGAGGACAGCATCGTCCAGCTAGGCAATACCTTTTTACTTGTATAAAGAGGTTTCACAATGTGCACCCCAGGTGTGTGGCCTGAATAGTTGTGCACCGTAAACAAGCTTCAGACTGGGAGGTCTGGCATTCTTGTTGCTGCAAAACGTGAATCTGCGTCTCATAACAATAGGACCATTCGAAAAAGGAATCGCTGGGGTTGTACTCGGCCGAGACGCAGAAAACTAACATGTTTTGAGCAGCAAGTGTAATGGTGAAACCTTATAATAGTAAAGGCGAATTATATATATAAGAAATGAATGGATAGCAGCCCAAGGTAGTTCCTTGGCGATACAAAATTGAGTGGTGTTTTTGATAGAAATTTTTCAGCGATACAGAAACACAATCACGCGAGCGGAGGTGTTCAAATAGTTGTCGACAGAACCGGAAAATCACACAGAACCAAGGTCTGACACACAATGTGATTACACATACAATATGCGTGGGACACAGCAATATCACATCACACCACATAATCTATACGTGTGCCACACTTGCATTGGACAAAACACACCAACCTAAGGTGTCTACACGCCAGTGAATATTTGCAAATCACGGACAGTGCTATGACAATCCGTGAGCCAATCACCGCCCTTTATATTCTTTCTTAACAGCAAGATCCTTCTTCATACAGTAAAACACTGAATTTTTGAAGCCCTCCTTCCCCTCCCTCAACAAAAGATGCCCACGACGACCAAGTGGACGACTGTTTGTAGCGACATGGCTCGCGAGGATTCCCAGCTGCTTTATGGAAGACACGGAGGTGTTCGTCATTGTGAAGAGTCAGCTGGTTCCATGTGTGGTGTGTGTACTGACCAAGCCACACAAGATGCGATACCGACTACTGATGTGTTCCTCGGAAACATGCAACGCAGCCACGCCATATGACGCGTGTCGGTGGAAGGGTAAGGTGCTCACGTGCCAAAGTCTTTACCGCGTCATCATAATGGAGACTGGTGGTCACGAGACGCTGGTGAACCCCCCCCCCCCTTCCAAAAAAAAAAACCAAGATGACCCCCGCCTCAAGGACTACGGTCGTGAAATGGCAACGCAAGGGTTGAAGCCCGCCCGGATTCGCAATGGCATGGCTCGGCGATTTGGGTTGGCGGAGACGGAGATGCCGACGCTACGTCAGGTGTAGTGGTCCGTCAGCAGTTATTCGAAGAAACATCTGCACCACAATGACGTCATATATTATTATATGACGAAATCCTGGGCCAGATCGACCAGTTGGCTTATGGCCCGACCGTCTCAGACACGACTCCATTTTCGTTCGGATGGGAACGTGACGCACGCGGCAAACCAGATGTGGGGAACGACTCTGACGAAAACCCATTTTTGGTGGGACTGACAACGAAGCGTCTTCTACTGAATGCGGCCCGCGACCCAGAGTCATTTGTGTTTCACATGGGCGCCACGTTCAAGTTGAACCAAGTCGGGTATCCTGTCTTTTGTCTGCGGGATCTCTGATAGGTGTCGCTCGTTTCACCTTGTGGCACTTTAAATTACATCGCAACGCTTGGAGAACATTTACATGGCAGCGCTGGCCGAGCTCCACAGGGTTTTTACTTCCGTGTCTGGTGGGCGACAACTGTTGGTCAAGTTCGTCATGGCCGATGCTGAAGCTGCCCAACAGAACGCAGTGACACGAGTCTTTGGTGTCGATTGTGAATTTGTATACTTGATGTGCTTCTATCATGTGATGGCCAAGGTTCACGAAAAACTTAAGGACGTACCGGAGTACTTGTCCAAACAAGTGATGGCGGACATCTATGATCTCCATTGCGCGGATAGCCAAGATGTCTATGACGAACAAGTGCAACAGATTATAACCAAGTGGTCGGATGAAGAGCAGCTGGTTTGGTTTCAAGGCTCTTTTGAGCGTACTTGAGTGACAAGTTCATTTTGGCGTTGGCAATGTTTCCATACCCCTAGTGGATACGCCACCACAAACAACCCGCTGGAGCAGTTCAACCGTCTGATCAAGCGTGACTACACTCTCCGGCCCAAACATAAGATTGGGACACTGTTCCAGCTGCTGGCAGATTGTTGCGGGCACCAGTCGGTAACTTTAAGAATCTTCAAGGAATCCCCTGAAGCCACTCAGCAGTTAAACGCAAGGGTTAAGGATTTTCGCAACCGAGATCTTCATGTGGACATGACTCCCAGCCGGCCCAGTATCGACTTCCTACTTGTTTCCCCAAACCCAGACGTGATTCATGTGATGCCACGTGGCTGTGAGCGTATCTATCTTCCGGAACTCGGGCGCAGTCGCGAAGTAGCCCCGGTGTCGGCCCAGATGGGAGTGAATTACGCGCGAATGGAGGTATTTGGGCAGCCTGAGGGAGGCTGGCATGTGGATTTGAGTACGAATTCGTGCGGATGGAAGTACTACTTCAAGTTTGCAATCTGCATTCACGTGCGCTTTGCTCTGCAGATTAAAAACTACACGGGACTGGATGGGAAAAGGACTCTAGCCAATCGTTCCGTGTCTAAAAATCGCAGCCGATCGGATACCCCTAGTGCCCGAGTGCCTGCCGGTCGCCCCCTGGTAAAGCGACATGCGTTGAATACGGAGTAAAATCCGTTAGCCGTAAGTACATTCGCTTCTCGCTAAACTAAGAAACTCTAGCTTCGTGTCTATTTTTTTTTTTTCAAGTTAATGTTAGCATCACGTTCAACTTCAATTTTAACTTCAATTTGAAGTACTCTTGGTTTGCTTTCATTCTCCACCTCACCTCAACGATGGCAAGCCAACACGGCGGAACCCGACCCCACCAACAGCCTTTCCAGCCTTCTTCAAGTGGTGCCAAGCGCACCTCCGTGCTCGTGGGTGGGGGCGCCTCGATGAGGCTGCGGCCCGTTACCTGAGGTCATGGGTACATGTCCAACGAGGTAATGCCTCAGCTATTAAACGTCTGTTAGATGCGGTACCACAAGGTCGCATCACCAGGGCCCGCCTCACCGAGGCAGCTGCTTTTGGAGGCGATGCTGGTGGGGCAGAATGGGTCTTGTCAACCGGAACTGACTTAAGTGGTCAACCTACCTACCAAATGCGAACCATCCTGGCAGATCGCCGAATTGACGGTCACGTGCAGTTCCTCACCTCCTGGGAACCAACATGGGAGCCAGCCACTAACCTTCCTTCAAACGAGATACGGTCGTTCCGAAAACGCCAGCGCCGCTGTGTAGAGCACGCCTACATTGAAGCCGAAGCAGTTGAAGAATAAACAAGTCGGCAGCCTCATAATACATACATACATATATTCTTCTAGTGCATTGGTTCTGTCTTTTTCTGCTTGTCATCCCTACGTCAGCAGCACCCCAGGCCATCCCCAAGAGCAGTACAGGGCCTAGACCCTTCAACATGCCCCGCGCAAGTCCGAAATGCCGCTTCTGTGTTGACGATGACGGTCGTACGCTGCACAGAAACCCAAATGCATGTCGTAGTAGTCACCCGTGATTACGCGCGGGATCCAAATGTATGTCGTAGTAGTCGCGTTGCATGTCGTTGTAGTCCGTGCATGTCGTAGTAGTTAGTAGGTGCGCGCTCCATGTCGTAGTGGTCGTTTGTGATGGCGCGCGGGCGCCACCGTGCCGGCGATCAAATCCGAGGCAGGCCGCGCCGCTTGTGCCCAACTGGGAAAATTGCCGAATGAGATGACTAATGTAATGGAAGCCACTGACTTCCTGGCTTCCTTTGCCTTAGTCAGCTATGATTGACTGCTACTTGGGACGCGGCTACGGAATGAATGGTCCGTGGCTGCGTCCCACTATCTGTACAGAGGCTCTGCCGCACAGACTGTGGTACAGTCTGTCGCACATGGCAGAGCAGCCAGCACGCGCACGATCTGCGTGTGCGTTTCGTATAGTGTTTGTACTATTTTGTCATAGTTGTCGACTGTAGATTATTAGAATCAACACACTACGGAGTAGGAAGCAAGTCATTATGAGTCGACATAGTCACTGGACACCAAAAACCGCGTTTTGCCTCATCTAGCTTATTGTTTTGCTACCGTGCTCCTTCTTTCTGTCATTAGTCCCAAACCAAAGTGATAACCAGTATTATTTGACTAAACGCCATCAAATACAAAAAAATCAATACGCTATGGCCAAACGTGCCTAGATTGTCCACTTCGTGTTATTATAGATCATCGAGTTGTCTTTATTACGGCTCCAACTGGATGTAGTACTGCTGATATCTGAATCTCAGTCGGTTATACAGTATTTCATTCTTTGCGAGATTTTTTAAAACTGTCGGGGTCAGAATTTTCGAAGCAGTAATGTGGCTACGGACTACGAAATCATACCACATGAATGTAACAAGACACAAGTCATACAGAGGACTGCGACAGGTTTAGGTAAATACCAGTTTCAGGTTGAGACCTGGCATTTTGTCTGCATATAATTGTATGCTTTTATTGGGTATCGCGATTTCTAAAAGCCAAGTAAACATTGACTTATCTTCCACCATCAGGGCACTGTTATTGCGAAATTAAATTAGTCAGTTTCTTAGATTAAGCTAAGTGAGGCAATGTCGTGCCTCCATGGTAGAAGTACGCCCTAAAACCAGCAATTTACGTGTAAAGACATTGTAAAGTTCACCTGATTTCTTCAAAATTTGGTTAGGTTTTTTTTTGTCAATAATAGGGTCAAACTTAATTGTATTAGAAACAGGTAGGTCCAATAATAAAAATAATTTATTGAATTGTAACTTTTGTTTCCGCTGTTATAAAGAGGTTCTCATTTACTAGAAATATGAAAGAGTCCTGGAATAAGTGTAGGCTAGTTTCAAGTCTAGCTAGCAACTATTGTCTCTAGAGTTCTAGAATAATAGTTACAAGGCTACTTGTAAAACCTTTCTTGAAGTGTTTTAGTTGCTCGAACCTCAATTATTATGATATTCTTTTTAAAAAAGTATCTTTATCAAAGACTTTTGAATCTTTAAAGACCATTTAGCTCTTAACACATTAGCTACTTTTAACTAGTTATTCACACTCTCAAAAGGTGGAAAGAAGTTGATTTTAATTTTATTTTGCTAAAACACATTTTTTAAACAAAAATGATGAATTCTCAAATTGAAAATACCATGGTTGAGCAAAGGTTTACGAGAATCAGACAACAATTACGCCTGACCCTAGAGGTCGTTGGCTTTTAGACTGGGAGGTCTGGTACTCATGTTGGCAGGAAATCTCCGAGCAACCGTCACTTACCAGTAGCAAGCTACCACACACACCTTGCATTTACTTCTACCAAATATCTCTACGCGTATAAGGTTTTGGGTTGTGTCTTCAAATCCCGCAAAATCGCAAACGGAAGTACCGCAGTAAGTTCTTCGACATAGCAGTTGGTAACGTAATTCCACGCGCTGCGCACTCAAAAAGCAGTAGTACCAACGGTCCGCAGATGACGACCTATGTCTGCTTCAGACACTCCTCGTGTTTCACAATAATCTTTTCTATTTTCTCTGGAAACAGCACCTTAATCGTATTCTTGCATTCTTCAATCTGCTTTGGCTGCTGGAGAGGGTCAAAGATCATGGTGATGCTCGACTCAAAGTCAAAAACAGCGCCGCACCAATGGTATCCACGGACATTGGTAGGAAGTAAGACGCGCTTGTTTTTCATGACGAACGGCTGCGTAACGAGAATGACCTTCATTTTCGTCACCAAAGTTGTGGTACTACTGAATCCAGGTAAAATAATTCCAATCGCTTCTCTCTTGCATAGACGCCATTGTAGGTATCCTAAAGGCGTCGTTTAGCCATTCCTCCTTTCTGAGCAATGTCTCATTTGAAAGTTTGCCAAACGGCGAGTCACGGTAAAATATTACGTCGAACAGCGTTGGCGACGTCCTTTCTTCCATATATGAATATTTATCAAGCCCCCAGAAACATAGAGCCGACTTAGTGAGGTAGATTCCACCCAATCCGCGGTCTCTCAAATCGCATTCGTCTTGTCCATCGTTAAGTGGTAATCAACCATCACGTAAATTTGATATTCACGAAACACGGCAAATGTTGGGACACAAACCCCTGTTAATCTCTGCGTCTCCTTTGCTTTTTTGCTGCACTTCCGTTTTTTTTCAGCAGCCGACTTAGTAGATGTTTTATACTCCTTCAACGCTCGTAGCGCATTTACGAGTAAACTCCTTGCTGAATACAAACTGGACTCGGTTGCTGGTTTCATTTTGCGTCATTTCCCTTGCGATTGCTTGCTTCCTTGACCCCACGTCCTTTACAGAGAAGCTCGGCAAGATCCCGTAAGCTGATTCGTCGCTATTACTCAATCAAATTACTCTGGAAACGTCACTTAGTACGACGACAGGCAGTGACGGCCCCTGGACGAACTGTTGGCTGCTTTTCTGGCCTCACTCATTTGCTGACGTTTTCTCTCTTGTACTTTCTTTTTATTTTTTTGAACGTCCTCTTGTCTTCGAACTCTTTGACACAAAAAATGTCGTCCCATCAAGTGACGTAGAGCTAGTGACACGATGCGCCTGGAAGAAAATTTGGACGGGCACCCCGGGCGACAAAGGACCCACAACGAAGTGTTGTGATTGGCTAGAGAAGTGATATCCAGAACCACGAGAGCCAAGCCACCCCGGATGACTGCAAGAACAAAGACGAAGGACGAGAAGTTTCCCGGTTGGTGATCCAGAGCAGCCATGGACCAAGACTTGAGAGAAGAACTTGGAATGGAGCTGATGATGAAGGAATAAAGCCAACCCCGGACGGACAACGTAGAAGACACCTTGGAACTCC